ATACACCCACCACCTAACACAGCTAGTATCAGTTGTTGATGTTTATACAACCTATGATCAGGGTATACGGCCACCATCAGCCTCCCTACCTTAGTCACCCAGTAGACCCCTCTCCAGTTGCTTGTGGTTGTACTGCTGTTTTTGTGGTCATTGTTGGTTGTTCATCATCTGGAGGTACTCTAGCCGCTGTCACCAGTAGGTACTTGGCCGCCATCCATCCCCATACCCCGCTCATAGCTAGACCCCTCTAGTCGCTGTAGTTTTATCTGTCATCACCCAGAGCAGCTCCGGTCTCGTTCATCACTAGGAACACGGCCACCGTCGGCTCCCATACATCTGTCAACAACTGGGCCTGCTCTGTGGCTTATTTGTCATCAAACACAGACAAACCCTCCTCTACAAATCCCACCTGCGGCCCAACCCACTCCGTGATCATCCACCCCCCTAGGCCTGGTTGTTCATCATCTGGAGGTACTCTAGCCGCTGTCACCAGTAGGTACTTGGCCGCCATCCATCCCCATACCCCGCTCATAGCTAGACCCCACTAGTCGCTGTAGTTTTATTTGTCATCACCCAGAGCAGCTCCGGTCTCGTTCATCAGTAGGTACACGGCCACCGTCGACTCCCATACATCTGTCAACAACTGGGCCTGCTCTGTGGTTTATTTGTCATCAAACACAGACAAACCCTCCTCTACAAATCCCACCTGCGGCCCAACCCACTCCGTGATCATCCACCCCCTAGGACTGGTTGTTCATCATCTGGAGGTACTCTAGCCGCTGTCACCAGTAGGTACTTGGCCGCCATCCATCCCCATACCCCGCTCATAGCTAGACCCCTCTAGTCGCTGTAGTTTTATCTGTCATCACCCAGAGCAGCTCCGGTCTCGTTCATCAGTAGGTACACGGCCACCGTCAGCTCCCATACATCTGTCAACAACTGGGCCTGCTCTGTGGCCTATTTGTCATCAAACACAGACAAACCCTCCTCTACAAATCCCGCCTGCGGCCCAACCCACTCCGTGATCATCCACGCCCCTAGGCCTGAATAATCACCAGGCCTACTTGGCCCATACCTGCCTGCTCCTCAGCTATATTTGTCCTATATGATGTCATGGGCTGATCATAATCAAACCCTGCACCTCCTCCCTTGCAGCTCCGGAGCTAACCCACTTAGCTACTACATCAACTGGTCTCCGTGTGCCGTACTAGGCTGTCCGGAAACCATCATTCGGGCAGCTATCTACTTGTTTTTCTCTCAGGGATTCGAGAGGATGCGGCAAAGCAGGTACTAACTAGTCAGGGTCATTTGTGCATGGGGTTACACGGCGACACTGTCTCAAGCAAAGACTCTTTTGACCCTCGTTATGCCATCTCACCTCCACTGAAACCTGGCCAATGGCTCAATGTAGGCTGCCACAGCCGGTATTCAGTTGACCCTCAAAAGGCTCTTAACGACTGCTCACTCATGTAACACTCGTTGCCTCCAGGACTCCTCGACGACATTCACGATACGTGGCTCACTGCACAACTCGCAAATTCTCGACTTCAGCACGACAGGATCTCTCGAAACACTCGCTAATGTTTTTTTTTCAGACCAAGGTTAACAGTCAGAGCTCACCAAAGAATTTGACCAAGGTTAACAGGATTAGCGTCATCTCAGAGCTCACCAAAGAAAAGAATTCCAAGTTTGGTTAGACTCAGAGGCCAGCCGTGAATACAACAGAGGACGAGAGGTAAAGGACGCCCACAACGTCAGGGAGATTGGCGAGTGTGGCGAGTTTGTGCAGCGAAGGCGGAGGTTGGCAAGTTTCTGCCGAAGACTACAGTAGCGAAGATGAGCTTCCCAAGAAGATTAGCGATATCGAGTACTCCCCAAGAAGAATAGCGATATTGAGTACTCACCAAATACGTCAGGGATTGGCGAGTTGTGCACAGAGGCCCATATTCCCGCTATGATTCTACTCTCTGGCTGAAAGAACGGACGGAATCAGCAGGCCTAATCTCCGCCTGATGGCCGGCTTGAAGTGCGACAGAAGCACTTTGTTCCTCTTCCGGCCGCTGCCACGCCTTCTGAGTGAATTACACCTGTGCTTTCCCAAAGGGGAAGATCAAGAAAAGAGTGCAAAAGGCACGCACTTGTGACTTTCTCACGCTGGATGTCAGACGTGAGTACACAGGCACCCAGTTCATCGCAGCTCTTTGCATGCTGCCAGACAACGTGTAAGAAAGGACAACAGACGACCTCACAAGCTGTTTTTTTTTTTCCGTCTCCCTTGACATATCATCATCAAACTGACCCGCACTTGGCAACTGAGTAGTTTAGATTTCATTCATCTGCTTCCAGTCAAGTTTGAACTTGGGTCTGTATTTCCAGTTCAGGGCAGTACGAACTGAGCTACACCAGTTCGTTGCAAGGTGATCTACTGTGCGGCTTTGGGCATTGAAAAGTCGGGTGAAAAGACGTTCTGATCCGGTAAAGCACGTGTGAGTACACCTCCCCACAGTCACATCCCTCGAGCAAACGATTGGGAGAGCACATTGCGAGTCTGTGTCGGTAGTCCACTAAAGATCTGCCTGTTACGTACATAAATGTCAAGCATCGTACGGCCAACTGTGCAATCAACAGGACTCGCTGTACAATCAATAGGTGAACTGTGCGTGCGTAGTCTGTAGATCATCCACTTCGTAAGGACATGTCCAGAACAAGATCTACTCTACCCCTTAACGACAAACTCATGACCACCTCGCGAGCCCTGCTGGGCTTGCTACGTAAGACCTACTACCTGTTTCCATCCCACGTCCAAGCATTGACTACCAGGGATACTATAGGTGAGCCAGGAAGCCCCCACGTAAAACCTACTACCTGTTTCCATCCCACGTCCAAGCATTGACTACCAGGGATACTATAGGTGAGGCAGGAAGCCCCCAACCGACCGAAAAGGAACACGCTGCAAGCACATGGAGATCGAGCTCCTTGGACCTTCACGTCCACATGTACACACAGCTAACAGTGTCGTGTCTTCTAGTGTTTCAGGTTCTAGGTCTTGCTCACGTGCAAGGGCGCATGCTCAATCCGCGCAGAGAAGGCGAGGCCCTTAACGGCGACAGCATCTTGTCACTTCCCCGTCTGCCGACATACGTAGGTGTCCAGTACTGCCAGTAGCTGGCGATCCTGTGTTACCTGGACTGGGGAACCCCCACAAGGAATCAGACAGAGTGAGAGAAATACACCACCTGCTGCGAGCTGAGAATTCCCGCTACGTCACATAAGGAAATGCTGAGAATTCCTGCTACGTCGCATAAGGAAATGCTGTCCGATCCCGCCAATATGTTCAAGCTATCTGCCGTTTTGCACTCCTCTCTCCTTGACAGACACTGCTCTCTCTCTCTCTCTCTCTCTCTCTCTCTCTCTCTCTCTCTCGTTCGCTAGTTCATCGACACACACTCTCTCTCCCAGCGGGTGAATGCTTACCAATGCATTCGTTCGTGGAGAGTCTGTTAGTTTTCGTCAGGAAATTTGCACAGCTCTGCAAAATCGGCTTGCCTTTGGTCCGGAATTCAGTTGGCCTCTCCTGCTGGCCAGCTACGCACAGTAGTAAGTCGTCTGAGTCGTTGCAGAGGCAAAATCAGTAGTTCTGCCTCAAATGGGAAACTAGTGGAGGGGCCAGCATTTCCTCTTTCACTCAATTGAACTCTAAAATTTTGATTCAAATTTGAGAAGCGATCGACAAAGACAATTGACTTACACATACTTAATAGCTTGGGGCTCCTCATAGACAGGGCAGGACTGAAACCACAAGTACCCCGTCCAGCTATTGATGCCGAGCCTAATAACGCCCTGCGCGCAAATTTTTGCCGAGCCTGGAGGGGGCGGGAACCAGAATGGGAAATTCCTTGGCTGGCACGGGGTACCGCCCCTTGAAGGTGAAAAAAAGATAAAACTGAACCTGATGGACCGATCGACCAGCAGCATTATGGAGATGGACCGATCGACCAGCATTATGGAGTGGTAAACAGAACGAATCAGTTCACACGTAATCACAGAACATAACAATTTGATTGCACACTTCCGTGTTCTCGTCGCTTTCTTTACATCCAAGTTAAAGATTTTTTTTGTCCTTTTTCCCCCTCGTCGACACATGTTCTTGCTGCATCTTCACAAACTCAAGATTTTTCCTTTCTATTTCTCCTTCTTGCATCTCTTCAGCAATGTTTTCGCGCGTCGTATACTAGTACTCACAGAGGACACCCAGCGACCCGCACCTCTTCTTAACCAACAGGGGCCGGTTCGCATCACAATCTTAGTGCGAAAGCGAAGCTGATGACCGGCAGCAGAAGGGCGGCAGAGTTCCTTATCGCACTGATTCGGAACTTGGCGGGCAAGGCAAAAGGGAGACGACCCGCAGCAGAAGCGCTTTTGGCAGTGGAGGAGGCTTCCCTTGCCCCCCAACCAGGCGGACATTACCGATGTTGGCTAAGATACTGCTGTACTAGCTGCGGGCCCAGACGAGGAAGCACAAACCATCCGCAGAAGGGCGGCGGGGGCGCAATGCCCTGCAGGGCCAATTTGTTGATTGATAGATTGATTACAAGAGTTGCTTCGACGAATGCCCGTGGAAGACGAAGCACGAAGACGAAGCAAGAAATTGAGAGACGGCTTTCGAGGAGAGAGGAGGGAAAGCTAATAGAAAAAGGGGGGCCGTTTGTAATATGGCACGCTCCTCGAGAACATTTGCCCGTAGGCACCCCACTGCGCCATAAGTCCTGCACAAAACACCCGCCCCTCTGGGTCCTAGGGTTGAGGACTAGGGTAACTTCAAGGCCGAAACTTCAAACAGAGGAGGCATCACGGAGAGGAGCGGATACAAAAACAACAATGAGCCCTCCCTCCTATCCAGACAGACCCTGCTACATTAACAACGTGAAAAACACAGGAAAAAAGGGGATTCTGTCTTCCCCCGGACATAACGCAACAAATATGCGTTGTATTCGAGTTTTCGAAAAATTCAGCAATTCGACTCGAACGCATATACGTGAGTCCAAAAAATAAGGGCCGTTCGAAGAGAACACGTGCGCTGTATTCGAGTAGAAAACAACCTATGCGTTGCATTCGTTTACAACGCCTATGCCTGATGTTCGGGGGAAGACTGGATCGGGCCGTGCTACCCTCCTCGCATAACAGGAAATGTAACAGCCGTCAGGAGTCTTTTACAGCTCCGATGATCGCGTGAGAACCCCCTCGACGACCGACAACTAGATGAATCAGTCCGACTAACGAACCACAACTTTCAGCACTGAAACAAAGAGAGAAAGCATGATAGCTTAGACGGAAAATGTTGTTTTAAACCTTTCACATCAAAACAGGCAAAGAAGTCGATCAATTACTCCTCTTCCAGCGAGCAAGCGATCAGTCAACCACAAAACGATTGATCAACTCGATCGATAAGCCGATCAATCGCGCCAGGCCATCATTATCCTAACAAGCCATCCCCAACATCTCCCCACACGATCATCAGCAAAACTTAATTAACTGCTATGGATCAATAGGTAACGGATTTCACACTTCGGACCACTCGACTAACCAACCGCCCTATTCCACCCATCAATCTGTGACTCGTCCCATCCAATCGACCAATCGATCGACCATTTGATCAAAGCAATCAATCAATCGGTGATTATCCACTCAATGGAGCGACCGATCGATAAATCTAGCAGCGATCCACCAACACTGATTCCGCCGGAAAAAAACTGCCGCTAGGAATTCGCTCCTGACATCGTCTCATGCACGTGGCGTGAAGAATACGGTGGAAATTCTTCTCGAAAACTGTTTAAGGCACTTAAACAAAAGTCCGGCTTCGTCCTCGCTCCGTTTGCTTTTGTTGGCTTAGACGGAAAATGTTGTTTTACACCTTTCACATCAACAGGCAAAGAAGTCGATCAATTAACTCCTTTTTCCAGCGAGCAAGCGATCAGTCAACCACAAAACGATTGATTAACTCAATCGATCAGCCGATCAATCGCGCCAGCACATCATTATCCTAACAACCCATCCCCAATATCTCCCCACAAGATAATCATCCAAACTTAACTGCTATGGATCAATAGGCAACGGATTTCACTCTTGGGACCACTCGACTAACCACCCGCCCTATTCCATCCATCAATCTGCGACTCGTCCCATCCAATCGACCAATCGATCGATCATTTGGTCAAAGCAATCAATCAATCGGTGATTATCCACTCAATGGAGCGACCGATCGATAAATCTAGCAGCGATCCAACAACACTGATTCCGCCGGAATAAACTGCCGCTAGGAATTCGCTCCTGCCATCGTCTCATGCACGTGGCGTGAAGAATACGGTGGAAATTCTGCTCGGCACTTGAACAAAAGTCAGGCTTCGTCCTCACTCTGTTTGATTTTGCTGCCCAGCAATCTTGTCTTGCCGTAAAAAGGGGCCCAACATGTACGGAGAAGGGAGATGAATGGAAAGACAGGTACACAATCGCAATTCCCCTTCACCTACCTGAACTGCCGTTGTAATCACCAACCGCGACTGCATCCCATCACCCAGTTCATGCCACAGCCGCCACGCATCACCTAGGGGATATCCAAGGCCGTTTCAGAAAAGGAAGCTACACCATCATGTTCTCCTCGTCATTACGTCCTCGGTCTCTGTCCTCTGGTAATTCAAAACCCCTACAGGGGTGAGTCCCTCTCCAACATGAATAATCGCCAACAGCACGGGGAATCAATCATCCCCTGCTTTAACACTACCTCTCTTCCTTCATTGACTGCTTTCTTCCATCCCACCCTTGCTTCCTCCCTTCATTGACAGATTGGTTCAAGTGCTTTTCATCCCATAAACGATGCTTATGTCGATCTGTCTATCTCTCTGTCTATCCATCTATTCATCCATCTATATATCTATCCATAACGAGCACCGGGGCGCCAGCAATAGCCTAACGGCAGAATTAGGTCTTCGAGAAGGCTGATCTGTTCAGGTCTCTGTTCAGGTAGCTTCTGCCGAACAGTAGACCTTCCCGATATCACCCGCAAACTGCCTGGATCCAGCAGCAAGGACTCTTTACCGTTCGCTGCGGTCCTGCGTGTTCTCTCCGCTGCGCTTCCTTCTGCCTCGACCAAACCTTCTCGCAGTTTTCTTTTGCGTGCTCTACCGGCACTTGCTGTCTGTACCTGTTCAGAATTCATTGCAGCCGAACCTTCTTCCTCCGCCTCCTCCCCCTGCTCATTGCCGTCGTAGCCGGATACTGTTTCTCTTCTGTCTCGCCTTTTCCTCGCTGTCATCGCTGCTGCCATGTTGCTGCTCCCGACACTTCTCCCACACCTGCCCTCCCTCGTCGCCATGTCCTCTCCTCTTCCCCTTCCACCTCTACCTCTGCCCCTCCCGGCAGTTTTTCTCGCGACACCTCGACTCGTTGCTGATCTCCCCCTTCCTGCCCCTCCTCTTCCCAGTCCTCTTCCCAGTCCTCTTCCCAGTCCTCTTCCCGTCCCCTCCTTCACTCCCATTCTTCCCGAGACTACCTTTATGGAACCCTTTCCGACTCTCCCATCAGCCGCTTTGCCCACCGAGCCCCCCTTTCGGACCCATCGTTGTACTGCCGCTCTCCTTATCACGCCCCCTCTCAGAGGTCTCTCAACGGGCTGCCTCTTTACTATCCCCCTCTGAGACCCTGCTTCTCCTGTCTGTTCCGTTGTTCCATCGTCCGCCCTCTCCATCTTTGTACCTCCTATCCTTAATCCCTCCCCATCTGACACCCCAACTTCCACGCCGGTTCCTGCGCGTCCTCTTATCGCACCTTGCCCTCTTCCTATACCTGCTGCTTTGCCCGATGATCTGCTACCTCTTCCTCTTCCGACCCCCATTACTCTCTCTACCGCCCGCCCCCTTCCCACCGAGACCTTCTTTGTCGGCGCCTTCCCTTGTCCCCTTCCCCTCCCTCTCCCGCGCCCTCGGCCCCGTGCCCGCCCTCCTCGGCCCATAACCGCCGTCCCCCCGTGAATGCTTCGCCGTTCGGCATCCCCCCCGAAAACCTCCCCGTTTGCCTTTGTGTGCACGGTAGTGGCACCTCCACTGCCGGTCGCTTCGGTCCGCTGTAGACCAAGCACCAACATGCGCGCCAGAACCCTCTCCTTGTTATCCTCCTCCTCCTCGACCTCCGTTTTGATCTCAGGAATTGAATCTGCAACCATTCCCCGCCGTCCAGCTTCCATATCCACGCGTATATCTTCCTGTATCAACCTACTTCCTCTTCCTCTTCCTCTTCCTCGTCCTCGTCCTCCTCCCCCCCTGCCACCTTTTCCAAGTTTTTTGCCAACCGCAGTGCCCCTTGCGCTCATTCTTAACCTTCCTCTCTCTCCTAACTTGTTCGCTCGACCGCCTCCTGTTCCCCTTCCCACTCCTCTCACTACCATCCTTCCCCTACCTCTCCCCCTGCCCCTTCCCCTTCCCGCGCCTCTTCCCCTTCCTCCACCCACCGTCGGGACAGCCACGCCACCGTTTCCGGGTGCATACTGCGTAACTTCAACACCAGCATCATACTCTTCCACCTCTTCCTTGACGACTGCTCCAGCAAAGCCTCGTTGTGGATTCATCGCTCTCCGTCTTGCTATTCCCCCGTCCCACCACTACATCTCTCTCTCTCTCTCTCTCTCTCTCTCTCTCTCTCTCTCTCTCTCTCTCTCTCTCTCTCTCTCTCTCTCTCTCTCTCTCTCTCTCTCACACACACACACACACACACACACACACTTTCCACACTTGCACACACACGCACACGCACGCACACACAAGCGCACGCACACACACGCACACGCACACACACACACACACACACACACACACACACACACATTCAAGAACTTGGCGTTGCCGTTAGAGATGAAACAGGGATGAAAGGGAAGTACATTTCGATGAGATGTCCAGGCATGCACTGACAAAACAGTCAGCCTCAGGAGAACGGCACCTTAGTCTAATAGGTCGCACCCTTCAGTGTCCCGCAACTGACGACATGTCTCATCACGTTCCTGGAAGGAAACCTGCACGCACACGCCTCTCGTTCCCTTCCGCACCAAGGCAGACAGGCAGCCATGGAAACCGATTAGCAAGCCGCAAGAACGGAACCCACTCCTTCATAGAACGCAGGGACGGCCTCCTGAGCCTGAGCACACCACTCCGCCCCCCACATTGGATAGGAGCTGCTCGTTGTGATCACCTCTGTGGCTGAAAGCCAACGCAAGCATACGAAGAGGGTTAAGCTAAAATGATCCCATTGCAGTGTTCATCCCAACAGCCGGCGCAGGAGCCACCTACATCACGATGGTCAGCCCAAAGAAGCGCTCGCGGCACGTCGATCAAACGAGACGCCCGTTGAGGCGTCCTTCGCCGGTAAGCACCCCTCCAAGATCCGTTGCTCTTTCTTGAGCGACCGCATCCTCTGCTGTCTGAAAAAAACGCTCACACTTCCGCCATGTACTCCGGAATCAACGCTGGAAGTCGACCTTTGCCATCGGACGGCTCGGAGCAAATGCCTCGACGCTGAAACAGACGAAAGTTCAGGGTTACTATGAGACTCCAGGCTTCACCGGGCCTAATTTCAGGGTTGCCATCGGACGGCTTACGGTCAGATCCCACTACCCAGGATTATTCATTTTTCACCCTCGATTAAGAAGATCAACGGTCATAAATGAAAAATAGGGGCTAGTGGGATCTGGCCCTAAGACAAGGCCGCTCCTGGAAATGCAGGCGTGTCCTGATGAACTAATGGCCCCCGCCTTGAGCCCAGAACATGCAACTCACCAGTTCGCAGCCCGTCAGGGTTGCGTTTTCCCCCCCTGATACATTTCAACGTCAATCAAATTTCAACGTCGTGGTCGTCGGGAGGGTGAGCATTTTAAGGTTTTGGGGCTTCGCAAGGGCCAGGACCGCGTAGGACCGGTAGCTGCCCATATTGAAACGGTGTGGGTGCACTTTTCTCGAATAGTAGAGTACCTCGAATTCGCAACCCGTCAGGGTTGCGTTTTCCCCCTCTGAGACATTTCAACGTCAATCAAATTTCAACGTCGGTGGTCGTCGGGAGGGTGGGCATTTGAGGTTTTGGGGCCTTGCAAGGGCCAGGACCGCGTAGGACCGGTAGCTGCCCGTAGGAGGCCGAGGTCCTTAAGCCATTTTCAAAATTTTCAAAATTGAAACGGTGCAGGTGCACTTTTCGCGAATAGCAAAGCTCCTCGAATAGAAAACGTACATATTGTATTCGAATATAACACGTACCCTTTCTATTCGGATTTTGAAAAGAGAAAACTTGTGTATTGCAATAAAATTACTTCCTTTTTTTTTTTGGAGGTCAGCGCCTGCCCTTGTGCTCCCCGCCACTGACATGCTGCATGCTGCA